TCAAATGTCACAGTCGAACACATGATATGGCATATCAAGCATGAGATTGAGGATATAAGAGTCATGCATCATTACTCTAACTCTATTGCATGATAGTATTTTAACCAAACATATCATTCTTTTACACACACACACACACACACATATATAAGGATGATTTGAAAATCCAACATAATTTGATCAAAAAAATGGTAAGGAGGAGTCGTTGAATAATCCAAATGGATCGCTTATAGATATATAACTAATTGAAGCTAATGAGGAAGATAAGAGTGAATATGTATTAGAATCGAATAAATGAGAGGAAAACTTAAAAGGTAATCATGAAATTTGTAATTAAAGATCAATTTTATTTATTGTATTCATTCAATTATATCGTTTTGTCAATTATGCATTTTTTAGATGCATGTTGTGAATTTTGGATGTGTTGAATTTTTATTTTTTTATAAAAAAAAAATCATATATTTTCAGTCAAATTATTATTCATTTGTTGAAGTTTTTAAATTATTTTAGGTATTATTCTAAAATTATACCTCGTGGATTAAACAGAAATGGTCATGGTGCCAATGGTCGTGACTCGATGGCCACGATATTCATAGTCGTGACAACGATACTAGTAGTATTCATGACCATATCACTAATAGTAGCACAATATGTGGACATGACACTCGTTAATACAAGTGACAATGGACTTGATAGTGGCATCGACACATTGACATCATTACTAGTAGTGCTTTTGCCGGTAATGCCACCGTCGATAGTGCCCCCGACTGCAAAGGTCCCTATGATGATTTCCTTAACTTCAAAAAACTCTACTAGATCTAATTTTGGATGGATCATTCGGATCGTGAATAATTGATAACCAATATATTTTACATGTGGTAATTAGTTTTATATTTTTATATATTATATTAGAATCATTAATTCACTTATTTATTATTTATTTATTTTGTTCTACGAGCTTGGTTTTATAAAGTAAGTACTGTAAAAAAATCACCATAGTTTTCAATGAGTGATTGGACGTTCACAGTTCCACATGGAAGTTTGTCTCCATAGAGACGAAAGGCTTTTATTTTAATGAGTTTAAGATAATATATTAATTATTTATTTATATTTTATTTAAAATATTAATCTAACATGAAATGTACTAATATTATTTTTTCTTCATGTAGAAATACTTTGTAGGAGATGTAACCGTGACATGTTGATTAAGGATGCATGAGAGAGTTTGGCATAAAGGCGGTACGATAACATGCTAAACAAGGTGAAGCATAAGACTAACATACTTTTATTTGTTAAACAACAAACATGGAAAGCATGGTGTTGAGATTGGGCCACACACGAGTTTCATATCCAATCTCGGCAAGTATCCTAGAATTGTATGTCAAAGATGGGTGGTATCGGTATTAGCTTATCCAAGCATACCGAGAGGGGTCCTTCTCTTTGATTGAGCATGATGAATGTTTAGTAAATCTTATTATCCATTGTATTATAAATTAATTTTTATATTTATTATATCTCATATTATTTTATCTATTTTTTTAGCATGATAAATGAGGTCATAACCCAAATCTATATGAGTTGTTCGTAATCACTTACTAGCGAGAAAAATGGGTCATTCATCGACGGATGGTCACGGACAATAATGAAAAGTTTTTTATTTTTATAAATATACATATATCAATATAATCTAAAAAATATATTTATAATTTAATATTATAATTATTTCAATGACGTAAGAGCACATATAGTTAATGCAATAAGTAATTATTAAGAAGTAGCGAGGAGGGTGATTCATCATCCTTAAACATCGATATGACCAAGATATATATGAATATTGTAAGAGGGGAGAAGAAGCGAGAGAGTGTATGGCCTCGGATCACGGGCACTCTAATTTTACTCTCATTATGATTCCGGCTCCTCCTCTCGTCACTTTATGGTATCCTAGTGATAATGTTTAGAAGGTTTTTACCTAGTACAAAAATAAAATTAAGGGGATAGAGGTTACTATCCGGAAACATGCGAGTAAATTCAACACTCGACGGAGTCGGATGCGAGATAGTGATGGGGTTGTTACGGGACTCGCAGCGGACTCGCATCCCTCTTGGTGACCTTTTCCTAACTTAGGAGTCATTCGTTCCTCTCATTACCCGACCGGAAGATGATGTAGGAGATGAGGACTAGATTTACTCGCATTCATATATTTATTTGATTCAACTTATATTATTTTTATACACCTTAACACATTCATATATTTATTTGATTTCAACTTATATTATTTTAATTTTATTAAATAATATATCATATTTTAATAAGGTGTTATTTTTAATTATTTGTTACTATCATTAACATTAAATGACTATTAATTTATAAAATAAAAACTTTCTTTCGTTTAACTACGAATTAGAAATAAAAATTAAATCTCTTTGTGACACATATACGATTGCTAAATAGTGATGGATTTAGCAACGGATTTGCGAGAAATTTTAGTGGACGATTACGTCGCTAAGCAATAGAAATAATCAATTAACGATAATTTTGCAACGGATAACGATTGGGATGATGATCTGTTTACTTCATTTCGGTGACATAAATTTTTTTTGTCGTTAAGAAAATAATGACAACCACTTTTTTACTAAAAGTATATTATCTTAAATCCATCATTAAAGCTAAATAATAATGGATATTGACGATATAATGATGGAAAAATCCATCGCTATTTTCCTATTTTCTTGTAGTGGAAGATATCTTATAACATAGGCTTTAATTAGATATTGCATCAAAATACATGATTTAATATTTTGAATATATAATTATTAAAAAAAATAGAAAACTAGACAGTTTTTTTAGGTCAAAAAATAGTAGAAATTGGAATCCATTTTTATTACATTTTATTAGAGTACAAATACCGAATTAAACTCACATAAAAAGTACCTCTTATTTATCTTATAGAGTTAGATAATTGACATTGCGTTTTATTCAAAAGACTTAAGCTTTATGATGGGTGACTCTTTAATTCTCAACTTTATATGTTAATTATCTTTTATTTAACTATTCAATATGAGATATGCTCTCTAACACTCTTCCTCATTTGCGGTTTATCTTTTAGGATCCGTAAAGGAGTTTGGGCTCCAAGATCTATACTAGGTTCGTTAAACTTTGTTAAGGCTCTTATATCATATAAAGTTAGATATTTGAGATTGGATTTCGTCTAAAAACCTTTAGTCTTATGGTGGATGGTTCCTTCTTAATTTTATATATTAATCATTTTTTTAACTATTCAATATATTCTTTAACATGTCTATTGATGATATCATCGGAAAATATCATATTCATCATCTTTTATTCATTTAAAATACCATCTTTTACTATTTTAGTCGATAACATCTTAAAAGTATTCTTACAATGTTAACAAACCATTTTCAAGTTCAAAATATATTTTAATCCACTCTAAAAATAAAATCAAATTCTCAAAACTAACTTCACTTCCAACTTCACTTTTCGCCCATAAAAAAAAATTATTGAATATCAATCAACTCTACTTACCCCATCTAATAACACCCTTTTCAATCAAAAGCTCCAACAAAAAGAAAGTGGTTTCTAGCAACTTCTTTCTCAATTTCCTCATCCCTCTCCATCAACATAATTATTTTTTGAATTTAATAGAAAATGAATTATAATGACTTAAATGTAAAAAAACACCAAAAATAAGTCTTAAATGCCTATCAAAGCGAGACATAGTCACTATTTAAAATCTTCTACAGTTTTGTGTTTTTTTACTAGGTTAATATCATATTAAATATTGTTATTAATTATTATTGAAAAAAAAAAGGATGATTGGTAAAGATAGGATAATACTCTTTAACAAAAAACCCATTACGATATACCATAGCAACTCGACACCTGTCGACATAACGAAAACTTACAAGAAGGAAATAAACATCGTTAATCTAAAAATTCACACATGAATTTCAAATGTCGATCTATTACAACTCGTTGAATTGCATGTAAATACTAGAAAATAGGCTTCAAATTCGTTGATTCAAGAATATTGAAACTTGGGATAAAATTGAGATACTCTGTCATAAATTTTTATTCATTAAGAAAAACTATCATTTTTCAGCCTCCAATTCATACATAAATAAGAAATTTAGCAAAAATCCTAAGCCAACTCAAAAGGAAAACAAATACAAAAACCCAAAAATTAAGAAAAAATATCGAAAAACTAAAAAGTCAATTTTAATGGCCTAAACGAGTCTTTTTTGGTAAAAATCATATCTACAACATGACATACACATCTATGACTCGTTAGATCATTTGGTATCGAATTAGGCTCAAGAAATCTTAAAATTAGGTCGATAATTTTTTTTAGCTTCGACACTCTCATAACGTTTCAAAAATTTTAGGTACCGTTGGTTCGCATAAGCTTTACACTTTTTTTTCCCTCAATCTCTAAGCTAACTTGATGAATTGGCTGCCAGATTTGGACAAAATACTGAATTAGTAGTCCACATATTCTGAATTGACTCATTAAGACATTAATTGCATATGGTTGAAAGGTAAGTGGTGATAAAGAAAATGGCTACCAATGATGTTGTATTGCGTTGCGAATCCAATTGGAACCACAAAGGTCAACCCTCCCCCTTATCATGTTCTTGTTTTTTCTCCTCTTGCACGTTCTTCTCTCACTCTCTCAACTCTTAACTCTCTTTTATTTTTTTTATTTTTTTCTTGAGCCTTGTATTTCTGTTGCAACTGCTAATTTTAACTTCCTCAACTCCTTTGGGCCCACATGGCTAACCAAGATTCGACATTATGGGTTCCCTTTTCTTGCATTCCTTAATCATCACCATCTCCTTTTCTATTATAAAAACCCCTCTTTCTTCTCAACTCCTGCGGGCACCATAGCATATTACTACTTCCTAGCTAGCTAGCTACCAACCATCTTGGTTAATTTTCTCCTCATTGATTTTTCTCTCTGCTTGTTGTATAGATTCTGATATATGGAAGACTACTCTATTAATAATTCATCACTGGATGAAGCTGATGCAGTCTCTCCTGCCGAGGAGAGTGGGTGGACATCTTATTTTGAAGATTTCTCTAACCATAAAGAAGAAGATGATAGTTTATGCTCTACTTTTGACAACTCTTCAATGGTTTCTGATGCTGCTTCTTTTCCTCCACGGAAATCATCTCATGTTGTTGCCAGCCCTTCCAGTGGGGGATTGCCGAAAAAGTTAACTTTCAAGAAAACAAGAGCCAAAGAAATTTCCCTTGATGATTCCTTGGAGGATACTGCTAGTTCTCCTGCTAATAGTCCCAAGGTTAGAATAATTTTTCTTTCTCTCTCTTTTCTCAAAAATTGTTCTGAAAGATGACATTTTTTTTAATCTTTCCAATATTTTGTCAACAGGTTAGTGATTTGAGACCGATAGATATGAATCCCAGGAAGACCAATGATCAACATTTTAACAGTTCTCTGGTAAAATACTGATTATCCTCTCTATTTTCCGCAAAATCTTCTTCTTGCATTAGTCTTCTTCGAATATAAATAATTAGTTTGGCATTATGATCAGTGGTTATATAAGGTGGTGAAGTTTTATATAATTGATCCTTATGATTTTTGTAGGGTAATAAAGAAAGCAGTAGTTCAGAGCAATGTGCAGAAGGGCTGCAGACAAGTGATCAAAGAAGTGAAATGAATTTCAGTAGTGGGAAGAATGACTGCATAGAGTTAAAGAAGAGAGGCTTGTGCTTGGTTCCTTTGTCCATGTTAGTTAACTATCTTGGTTAAACTCATCATATATATATATATATATATATATATATAATATCTCTCTCTCTCTGTCTATCTATCTATCTATCTATCTATCTATGTCTCATATCTTCCTTGCAGCGCAACTATTGATTGTCGTGTGAAGGAAATTGTAGTTGATATGTATGTGGTGTAAAAATTAGTGACAAGTGATCTCTATATGTATCTCTCTCTCTCTCTCTCTCTTTCTTCTTCTGCAACATAAATCTACTCCCAAATCTTCTGTATTGTATATATTCAAAAAACAAAGTAAAAAACAACCTTCAGCAAATTAAGCATATGCATGTGAATATCATTTTCATGAGCATTTAACTTAATAAAATAATATATTAACCCCATTAAGTTAATGGTAATTAAATAGTGTGAAATAGCTAGCTAGCTAGATAGGCCTAATTGTCTGAAACTGTCCTTATAAATGACATAGGTAGTTCAGAATAAATCTGTTTGACAAATGACCTCTGATGCCATTGTACGCAATATTTGTCTACAAGCATAAGCAAAACACCTGTGAAACTTTGAGATCCTACCACATCTAGACGGTTAGGGATACGGTTTGGACTTCAATGTGAACTCATGACAGGATGATCACCTAGAGTTTTTCGAGGAAAATATGTTCTACCTTGAAAGCTCCTTTATTAATATGCTTCTGTTTATTTTTGCCATCAATTTTATTTTCTGTTCTCCATATTTTGAAATTTATTTTTGGCAAATAGAAAGCTAGTATTGAAGTCTGAATTCCTTAGCATGCAGCTTTAGGTCACATGTAAAAACTCAGTACATTTTTTAGTCTAAACTCTCGCTGCAAAAATTTCCACAGGGACTACGGTTTTAAGTATTGAAATGAAATTTTAAATATCGACCGATATTGATGATTTAACTACATAATATTCTATCGTTATTTTTCGGTTTTTTTTAGTGTCTAAGTATTAATTATTTGCCTTTCACTGGACGTATAACAAGAGGTTTAACTCATCAGTTTGGACAAACTGACTTGAAAATTGAAATGCGTCAGTAACCTTTGATGCCCTATTGTAGACATTTGTCTACACATAGATTTGATTGATGTATAGACCTTCAACTTTATGATTTTAGATTAGATTTCTTTAATTATTAATAAACTTTATTTATTTACACTGTCATTTTAATTTGTTTCAGTACTTAGTTAAACAACGGCCATTTTTACAATTGGAATAAACGACAAATTATTTGAAACAACACACAATTTTTATTAGCAATATTTAAATAGTCCAAATCAAAGGTTTAAAAATCACCGAATTAATGCTTCTATGGATTTTTTTTTATTTTTTTATATATAAAAACATCTAAAACACAAAAATTACTACCAACAAATTGTTGGTACAATAGTTTATGGTCTCTAGATGAATTTTTTTCTAATGTATAGGATTTAAATTTTCAAATTTCATTGAATTTTGAAATTTCATTTGTTAAAAATAATTAAATTGTCTTTTCACTTCAAACATGATTAATTATATTTTTAATGTAAAATAAGAATAGCTAGATAAATTTAAAAAAAAAAACACACATACAAGCCAAAAACACTTGGTAGGTATTCCATTTATATTGAGGTGACAATTAATTTGTTTGTGCAGATGGCAGCAAAGTAGGAATAAGTAGAAGTCATGAAAATTCAGTATTAATTAATTAATTGGAAACTTTAAAGCTTTAACTTTCCACCTACCCAGTTAAGCGTGGACATTATATTATCTTCCTTGATATACAGCACTATCTAATAATAGTGATAGTAACAAGGACAATATTTAAAAGGATTTGCTCCAGATTATTAATAAATAACTATTAATTAATTAATCAGGCTTCTCCATTTTACATAGAAAGCGAGAAGAAACGAAGGGGGGACAGGAGTAAAGAAACTAAAAAAAAAACTGAATTAATTTCCACTACGTAGTAAAAAGGTAAATTTAATCTCAGCGCAAACGTAAAACCTAAAAAAACTAATAATTGGTTAGTGGAGCTTTTAGAGTAATTGCCTAGCAGGCAATGGCAATTCGATAAACCCGATTTAGAAGGCAATTAAGGAGCACGTTGGTTAAAAAAATGAATGAAAAAAAATTGGAAACCCAATTTATATGGGAATATATATATATATATATGCCAACAACTAGACAAACAATACCATTTCAAAATTTCTCTTTCCAAAATTTTATTCGTTAACCCCACAAAAATAATAATAATAATGCATTTGGCAGAATTTAAAAGCAATTTATATCTAGCTAGTTGATATATAGAGAGAGACACACACACATAGTACTATATATGTGTGTGTATTTTATAAATAATTATTTTTCATTAATTAATTAGTTATGATTAAGTGGGAATGAGAATCACAACCAAAAGGATTTAAGTTCCTTGTACCCTAACAAAGTAAAATAAATAAATAAATTATAATGCATGGATTGAAATAAAAAAGAGACAAGGGAAAAAAGGGTTAGATATTAATTCATCTCCACCACCCTCTTGCAGGCCATTCATTTAAATTATTCAGAAAGGGCTGCAAATGGAAGACCCCTCCATGTGCAGAAGCATTAAAGGCAGGTGTGTCACAGAAAAGGCTAGCACACCCACAGAGTTGTTAAGAAGATTCTAATAGTAATTTTACAATTCCTTCTTGGTTGACTCTTTAATTTATCTTTAACATTCTTCTAGATGATCCTTAATTAATTATTCTCCATTCTCATTAATTCTTTTCCTTATGATTACTTTATGAATAAACATTCAATCATTATGCAATTTTGATTAAGGTGTTAATGTTGCCATTATTCTCGCTTTGATTGCGTAAACAGCAAAGAATATTATTCTTGAATACTATATGATAACTTTTTAGACTTCATCCTGTTTTCTGTGGCTTAAACGAGAAATGGCAAAAAAGGGGAATTGTGTTATTTAAAGAATGCTTGTCGCCTAGGTAAAGGAGAAGAAGAGTTGATGATGCACGTACTTACGTTTTTGATTTTTTAGCTTATCTATTAGTTTCATCTTTGGCTTTGGTAAATCTAGAAAATTAAATTTAATTGCTTAACTACTGTAGAGTACTTAGATGAAATGTAATTTTTCATCAACTCAAAACAATAATATCGGTCTTCATGATCGTCTCAAAAATTGCTTTTTCTTGCAAAATAATTAGTTTGAAATTAGCGGTGTGCTTTGACTTACATCATACAAGAAGAATTATCTCTTATCTAAAGAGTTCAATATCTTCCACTCCTTTATGATAAATAGAGTTGATGTTTTCATAATTCATGCTTCAATATTGCCTTGCTATCACCCCCATTATTGTAATCAGAAGCAAAATTCCAGTACCAGTTAGACCATCTAAAAAAAAAACCTTAAGAGTCTCGAGTGTGTGTGTATTTGTAGAAAAATAGGTAGGTTTTCTCATACTTTCTGGTTCACCATTTTTGTATTTAAAAGTACCACTATCACATTTATGTCGAAGTCAAACTTAAAAATTTTCAGAAAATAAACACGATCGTAAATGAAAATAGAGATACATCATTAATTGTATGTTGCAGTAGGTGAGATTCGAGTTCTCAACTTTATTGACAAAGTTTTATGAAAAATTCACTTATTATATAAATTCATATTCGAATTCTCAACTTTATTAACGGAGTTTTATGAAAAATTCACTTGTTTTACTCAACGAAGTATCTTTGCTAGAATGTTTATTGAATTAATTAATTAGGAACTTGGTCAATTGAAGTGTGTACTATTTAAAAAAAAAATGCATTTATTGCTTTTGTTGTTGGATTTTATTTGTTTTTGAATAATGAATTAGCATGCATAAAATGAGGTAAAAAAAAATTGTTGAAACTTGTGGAGATTACTGAGCGAAACCAAACTTGTGAGAACACATGTACCAAAACTGCAAGGGTAAATAAAATTAACCACATTATATCTATTATAATCATTTACAAGAACGATATATTTGTTCCAAAAAAAACTCCTCTACACCCGTTGTTCTCAGTTGGCAAGAAAACCATAAAATTAACAATAAAAATGCCATGCATGCATGATATATATATATATATACATGAAAATGGAATGGGATCGGAGTGCAGACGACTATATATTTGGAGATGGTCCACCGCTGCATGATTAGTCTATCCTTATTAACAGTTTGTAGACGAGTAATGCACCCAGTCATCCACTCATCCTAGCTAGCTACATTGAAAATATAAATCTTAATTAGCATCAAATTTGCCCATAAGTTCCAATTTTAATTATGAACGTACTATGCATGTAAAACGTTTAAGTCAGCATCATAGAATTATGTGATATTGATAATTATTATAGGTAAGTTCCAATTTTAATTATGAATGTACTATGCATGTAAAACGTTTAAGTCAGCATCATAGAATTATGTGATATTGATAATTATTATAGGGCCTAAAAAGCAACTCACCACTTTGATTGTTGGATTGATATTAGCCCAATAATGCATCGCAAATTGATTGGATAACCATTAGAATCCAATTAAAAGACAAATTCTTTGAACTAAATATCGTTTCAAACAGATTAGGCATTGGATTTGAGTTAGGTGATCAATCAAATGAGTTAACTACCGCTAGTAGTGATGTGATTTGAATTTTATTGCAGTGGCAGATCACATGTCTTCATTGCATCAATATTACAAATCGACAATATATTGCTGCTTTTCTTTTTTTTCTTTCTTGTCTTTTTTTTTCCAAAAAAAAAAAAAATCCACAAATGACTCGTATCATTTATACTTTTTTCACAATCTTGAATACCTCTATCATGTCTCTAAAGGGACCCTTTAAGTTTTGAGACGTTTACCTAAGGATATATCTCGTGCTCGAATTGTAAATCCGATTTGATGAAAATTTAGAAATTATCATGAGATCTGTCAATTGTACGTTCTTATACAACAATGCCGTTGGCTTTTTCAAGGAAAAAGAAGAAGAAGAATAATAAAACATTTATGTAACTTTAAGGATTTGTCTTGTGGCTAATGAAATTTACTCTTCTTTTTTTTTTTTAAGACTTTTTCAATTTAAACTTTGAGATCAGTAGGAAAAATTATTTTTTAAACGCATCAAGCCAAATAGAAAATGCCTTTTTAAGATCCCGTAAAGAAATAAA